AGTATCAATTACATCTTGATGCCTTGATTCACAACGGATTGACGGAAAATTTAACTTAAAAATGTGAGCAATACCAACTAAATATGCTTGGACTGATCGAGGTGAGATAATACGACTGGAGTAAGAAACATAATTGCACAAATTTTTGACATTCAGAATAAAAGGAAGAAGGAATTTTTTACAGAAGTTAGCAAAATTTTTAAAACCACATTTATATTCAACTAAAGATGTCTTAGCTACAGTCGAACGACAGTCTTTGTTCAAAAGCTTCCTTAAATCTTCTAACAAAATATTCATGAAAGCCGAGCTCGCTTTGGATTTACCTATTTTGTGGAACCAGATGAAAAGGCATTAATTGAAAGATTGGCCTCTAAACCTCCTGAAGCCAAATTCGGATCGATATGAAAATAAGTAACTGAAGCTGCCCCAATCCAAACACGTAGATCTTCTAAGGCCACATCAGAAATATCTAATCTCTGTCTTGACAAATCATCAGCTGAGGTGTTAAAATCCTTCAATATGTGCATGACCTTTACGTCAGCACCCGCTTCCACCAACCGCAATATACAGTATCAAAACAAAGGTCTTACAATCTTGTTAGGACAATGGGAATTGAAAAGATCACAGAAAAGTTGTGAATCCGAGTGAACGTAAATCCGTTTTGACCCTTCTTTAATGCCATAATTGATTGCACAAACAACCCCGAGCAATTCCGCCCAATAGATATTTCGAGTTGGAGGTGGTAAAACCAAATATCTACCCAGACGAGGCCCTGGTTCCCAGACCCCAACTCCTGACATGCATGCATCAGTGAAAAATACTGAGTCAGCGTCTTGAAGAACCCATCTCGTAGATTTGAGAAATTGAACTCCTTCTGTGTTTTTAAAACAATCCAACAACCATCTTAAATTGTCTTGATTTTCTTTATTCAAAGGGATTTGAAGATACTTATTATACTTTCCTCTCGTTTTTTCATATAAACTTTGCAACGCATACACTGCAAAAATAATGTATTTTTCCAAGGTGAAAAATGATTCACATTAATGCACAAAATGATTATTAATGCAGAATTAATGCAGAAAATGCAGAATTAATGCAGAATTAATCATTTTTCACCTCGGAAAAATACATTATATTTGCAGTGATACCTACCCCATGGCGTAGAAGTACAAGCCCATGATGCTGTACCTAAAAGTTCCTGCCATTCCTTTACATTATGCTTTGGTTTTGAAATAAAACTTTCAATCATTTGAAATAATTTAGCTTTCTTGTCAACATGAAGGTACATAGTCATTTTCTCCAAATCCACTATGTGACCTATAATTTCTATAACAGGTCCATGGATCTGTTTTTTCCACACCCATGGAATACCTAACATATCAAATAAATTCAATAGTTTAGCTTGAGGAATTGGAATGTAATGATTTTTAAATGAAATAAAATCTTTCTTGGCACATATACCCCAAACGTCGTCCATCATATTGTTCATTTTCTTGATACCAAAGACGAACTCAGCAATCCATAAAACTAAAGAAAATACTCCACACCAAATGTGTGGAGATGCTGACAACCCAAATGTTAAATTGTAATCAATCCTCTTGTTATCTTTTACCCTCATAACTTGACAAATCTGATATTGAAGATTTAATGGAATAATTCTGAAAGCCGTCTCAACATCCGACTTCCATAACATAAGATCGTTCTCTTCTTTCTTGATGTCTATCACATATGGAACAAAGTTCTTCAAAGAGTCGTAAGTTACTGCTATATTATCTTTGTCAATTAGATTGTTAGGAGAAGGTCTTCCAGCACTCATGTTGGAACAGACTCTCATTTTGAGAGAATCTTTTTTCGAATTCATAAGTAAGGGAATGACTTTCATACCCGGAAGTAATGTAGTAAATTCTTCCAAATACCGACCTTTGTCCACTTCTTCTTGACACTGAACCTCTAAAATATCCTTGAATGTTTCGCAGGACAAATGATTTGGACCGTCAATCACTTCCGATGATGGTAATGATGAACTGGGCCAGAACCCCACTCGTAATCCTTTGATGACTGAAACTACAAAACTCCTATTCGGGTGATGGATTAAAAAATCTTCTAACTTATCGACTTGAATTGGAGTGTTGATTTTGAATAAAAAATGGTATTGCTTTAAAGCATAGGCTGCATCGACGTCTTCTTTCAAGGATGGTGCATCTGGAAAAGGCCGTGCTTTGAGACTCGATTTGATGGCTGGAGAAGAACCTCGGTCGTTGATCCCATCCCAGATGTATCCGCGTAGAAATCTATGAGAAGATACTTCCTCTATTATCAATTCTTTGTGTTTTGTTGAATGTCTATAGTGAACTCAAAAGTCAGAACCTCTTGAAATAACAATCTTATTCATTAAAGAAATAAAAGTGAAAACCAACCCGAAGATAGATTTTTTATCTCCTTCAGGTATGCTTACAACCTGGATGGTCTTTCCGACATCCTTTGACATTCTGAAATGGTAATCACGTCTCATCAGTATTTTCCTCGGACTCTTTCTTAGTCTTTTTTAGAGAAATTTCCAGTAACAATTACAGACAAGAAAAATACCAACACATTTATGCTGTCTTGTGCATTTATCACCAAGTGCACAATGACCAAGATTAAAAGCAAAGTAATATGTTTCTGCTTCACAAAGATTTCTCGTGTCTTCCACACCAAACCCACTTTTATACTTATAATTATGATCATAATATAAAGGGGAATTTTGGTTATTTTGATGATTTTGTTGACGTTGATTTGAAATTTGTCTGCTTGGACCTTGATATGGTCTAGAACTCGTAGATGCTTCAGGCTGACAAGTTTCATAAGCTCTTGCCATGTATTTTGTCAAAGGAGTTGAAAGTGATTTATGATCAAAATCGCCAAACGACAAATTTTCCCGTGAAGCAAAATTTCTGCGTAATGCTGCGTCAAAATTTGCCACACACATCCAATCGGCCTTTGATCCGTCTGACATGATTTGTTCTTTGATGAATTCTGCATATCTCTCAAAATCTTTGTAGCAACTTGGAAAAGCTTCCTGATATGTTCTTTGCAAGATTCCAAAGTAATGGAACCATTCTTGAGCATCCAGAAGCTTCTTTGATAACGCCTTATTTTGCAAAGATAAATTCTTATCGCAACCATCCACAATAAGAGGATCTGTATATCCTTTTTGCTTTGCCAAGTATTCTCCTTTAATACGCCGTAAATCAATATATTCTCCTTCAAGCAATTCTTTTGACAAGGTTTTAGGAAAATCAGACAGTCAAACACTTCTGTTAAAACCTTTGACAGCCAGAGAAATCCCAGATGCATAGCCTTTCTTTGCTCGAGCAAATCTAATAGCTCCTGGAGTATAGGACGCTTCTGAATTAGGACCTGATTCAGCTCGTGAAAACCAATCAAACTTCTTTGTTTTCTTAGCATACTTTTCATCAGAATCATCGGATTCACTAGTATCAACATCCGTTTTATGATTCTTAGAATGTTTCCCTCCTCTTTTTTCAATATGAGGAGGCATCGATTTTGAACAATGAGATTTTTCTTTACTTCCACTATTCTGACCATCCAACAAATTTCTTGCTGTTTGAGCCAAGTCAATTTCTTTTTGAGTAAGAATATGGACTTGAGGACCACTTCGATTACTTCCTTGTTGACTTTGATGTTTACTTCCTTCTTGATTATTTCTTTTATCCAAAACGATGTCATCCGGATAAGTTGGGTTTGTGGATACATCAAACACATATACTGGATCATCATCTCATATGACAGGTCTAGTAGGTGATGGAACTTCATTACGATGGACAGGATGGTCATTTTTTTGTCCTTTTTAATAAGTTCACACGCAAACTTGGACCATTGATGGTACCAGTTTGAAGAGCTATAAGGAACGATCTGAGAATATGACGATCGAACCTCAGCCATAGTTGTGCCGTTGGAACCATCACCTGAAACATATTCAGCGGCCAGGGCTTCCAATTTTTCTGCCACAACCTTTGCAGCTTCGTAATCAAATGCATCGACATTGCTCATTGAGATTCAGATGAAGTGATAGATTTAAATGAAATGTTTTTTGATAACGACTTTTAATTTTTTACCTTTGTGACCTTTTTTGCGATAATATTACTCAAACAAGGATGAGTTTAACGGACTAAAATGAACAAGAGAATTTGAAGGTTTGTAAACTTCAACAATGGTGAACACAATGGGAAGTAGAAGATAACGGTCAACAGCTTATGATGTCATGATAGAAAATCTAGATAAGACGTGGAGAAGACCGACCCGTTAGTTTACAAGACCACATGTAATGTAATCCAATCTTTTCCCATTCCACTGCGTATTAATAATAAGTTACCAACCTCGAGTCCATTTGGATAAGAAAGTTGCTGCCTCTTTTGTAGATACTTGCTGCATACCGTGTCGAAACACACATCCAAAAATCTGCACCTGATCATGACAAAGTTTTGAGCAACAGCGTGAGAAAGTCTGTGCCGCAGTCGTGTAAGTCACGTGAGTCTACAACACCGGGTACATAAAGGCAAACGTCCTTATGTGGACCCGTCTACTCCCATGCTCCTCATCTCACTCCACCCCGTAGACACCGGTCCAACTGCGTGCCTTGTTGAACCGGGCTAACACCGCTGATAGGCATTAGAGTTGATGGACCTGTTGTCAGTAAAAAAGGAAGCCATGGATTCGAAGAGTTAATCCGAGGACAGAAACCATATGGAGTACACTTACACACTCCTTGTTGGGCAATATGGGATGTGGTATTCGAATTTACCTCAGGCCCCGCTTGTAGTGATTCATCGGTGGTGGATGAGGGAATATGTTGCAAGAGGATGTCGATGTAACTCCGGAGAACAACATGTAATGCGATTATCGATACGCCATTAACGGACAGAGTGCGATTGTGAAAGATGTCTAATCCGAATCTGTTGTGGTGGTCTATCCAGCATCCACATTGGTCGGATGAGATGCCAGTCTTGAGGGAGGTTGAGGGAGCCCGAGCCGCGAGGAGTTGCGTTGAGGAGATGTCATCTTTCGTAGTTCAGTTTTACGTTTCAAGTTGTATGGCTGAGTTTCTAACTTTCTTGGCATTGCACCCTTCACCCCTCTTCACTTTAGCCATCACGGGAACATCCGAATCGATCCTCTCAATTGGAAAGCTTCATGCAGGAATACTTCAAAAGGTTACCTCAAACCTCAACTTGAACTCAATGGACGTCGAACGAACACCATTATTAACTTCAAGGAATGTGAGTAGTAAACTTGTTCAAGAGGGTGATCTTGAATATAGGCAACTGATTCATAACCATGTTTCCTCTTTCTTCTTCTTCCATCAGTCTTACGATTCTAGGACTAGTCAACGTTCAGTCAGAGTTAAACTTCAATCCATCTACACTCGAACCCGTTATTATGTTCCTTCACTCGATTGGATCCCACAGTACTCAAGTTCCGATTTCTTTCATGACGCAATGGCTGGTCTCACTTTAGCATGTTTATTGATCCCTCAATCAATAGGTTATGCTACTCAGTTGGCTGGAATACCTTCAATCAATGGTTAGTTCAGTTTTAACAATTGACTATTATCCTTCAATCAATCTAATAGCATCTGTGTACTTTTTTGTTATTTTAGGTCTCTTCTCTGCTGCCATCCCTGCTCTCGTCTATCCGTTCTTTTGTACTGGTCGACACGTATCAGTAGGACCTGAACCGCCCTTGAGTTTATTGGTCGGTCAACTCATCAACCAACTCATACACCATCATTCTAGTTCTAGTCATGCGGAGCTATCGGAGCTTGAACGTCGCGAACTTGCAAGATCGGTTTCTACCTTGATCACCTTTCAAACTGGAATCATCACCTTTGCTTTCGGTCTTTTCCGACTCGGTTTCCTCGATGCCGTACTTTCGAAACCTCTCTTGCGAGGTTTTGTGACAGCGAATGCGGTGGTGATTGCGATCGAGCAACTCACATCTATGCTCGGTCTCACTACTCTGCTTGGACGTCAAAAACCTAGCCCACCTCAAGGTTCAACTGACAAATTGTTTTGGTTAATGCATCATCTACGCTTTACACATCCACTCACAGCTGTTATCAGTATTATCTCGCTCATCGCTCTGCTGAGTATCAAATTGTTCAAATCATCAAAACTTTGCCATCGCCGTGTCTCCTTTTTCAAATTTATACCTGAGATTTTACTCGTCGTCATTCTCGCTACCATCCTTTCTAAGATTTTTAATTGGGCAGAAGAAGGCGTGGAAGTAGTTGGTCCGATTCGTGCCAATGAAATCGGGTTCGGCTTACCCTGGAAAAACTTGAATAGAGCAATGGTGAAAGAGACCTTTGGCACATCTCTCACCATATGTATTTGCGGGTTTGTAGATTCGATTGTGGCTGCCAAGAGTGAAGGGGCCAGGTTTCATTATGCTGTTAGTCCCAATAGAGAATTGGTCGCTCTTGGAGTCTCCAATCTCTTCAACTCAGTGGTGGCCGGTAACATTCCAGGTAAGTTTACACTTCTTAAATGCTGAGATATCTCACTTATTCACTAGATCCATACTTTTACCCTACATGATCATTTTTATGCATATAGCTTTTGGATCCATTACTCGCAGTCGACTAAATGCTTCGACTGGCGCTAGAACTCCATTGGCATCAATCATCACCGGCTTAACGATTCTCTCCGCCACCTATGTCTTGCTCGACTATCTATCATATTTGCCCAAAGCGGTACTCGCCACCGTTATCACCACAATGGTGTTTCATTTCTTTGCTCAGCTTCCACCTGACTTGACATTCTTTTGGAAGTTGAAGGCCTGGTCTGAGCTAGGATTGATGACCGTCAGTCCACCTTCTTTTGAGAAAACTCATCTCGATCACTGATTTAGCTGCGTTTTACAAACAGTTCACCTTTTTGATGACATTGATATTCGATGTGAAGACGGGTATCATCCTCTCAGTGGGAGCTAGCTTGGTCCTGACGGTAAAGGATGCAACAGCGATCAGGGTAAGAATCTTAGGGCGGAATAGGCACAGTAGGAATTGGGAGCCCATCGATTGGAGGAGTGATACTTTGAATCAGCCAGTCGAGAGAGACGAGGAAGAAATCCCAGGTGTACTGATCGTCAAAATCAGAGAGTCACTTAGTTTTGCCAATGTGGGAGGATTGAAAGAGCGATTGAGAAGACTGGAAATGTGTTAGTAGGCTGTCTTCTATATAACTGATCTCGAAAACTAACCCTTATCTCCTGATTCAGTCGGTTACCAAAGACGACATCCATCTCAAGCAAGGGAGCGTGAACAAGTTCAAATGATAGTCTTCGATTTGGGTGATGTTGAGCACATCGATCCATCTGCACTTCAAATCTTTAGAGACTTGCTACTCGAATATCGAACTCGTGATGTTGAGGTTTGGCTCTGCCATATCAAGCCTAATCAGCTCGATTTATTAAGACTGGCTGGCATTGTTGATGTCATTGGAGATGGTAAGACTTCTGTTCATCATCTTTAATCATGGAGACTGATCAATATCTATGTTTATTCTTTGCTTCACAGAGAGAGTGCTCCCCAATGTGAATGAGGTACTGAAACAAGTTCAGAAATCAAGAGTAGGAAGTGAAGTGAACTTGTTAATGAGAACGGAAAGTGACGATTTTCTACCTCGGATCTAACTGTAGGAACAAGAACAATGGATAATCTTTCATCTCTTTGTAAACTTGGATTTTTTTCTTCCAGCAAGGTATTGCACGCAAATAATCTTCAAATTAAACATCATTTTTCCTTTACTGGTAATTGTACAATTTAGGCTATATAGAACTCGAAGAAGCAATGTTTTTTTGTATATGACTCCTTTTTGATTTTCTTCTATGGATTGCGTCATTTGTTTATGTGATAGAGGCAGACAGTAATGTTTTTTGTACCGATCATCAGCTAGATCAGTGATAAATGTGATGTATGAGGTTTTCTGCAGTTCCCTCTTGTTCTATCCGTTTCCCGATGTACATTTGAAAACCCATTTTTGGAGCACTATATTTGAGAACAGGGCACCTGTGTAGCCGTGTCAGATTTGATATTAGATACCAGCTGAGTGGAAGGTACAGCCAAGGTCTCGATTATGAGTCTCAGCTGTTGATCTCACTTGTGTAGATACATTATAAACACCTTTTATATTCCTATTGCAAATGAAACATTTGACACGTTTACAACTCTAAATAGCACTCTATTATAAAACAACATTGCTGGTAATCTTAAAAACATGCCAGCGCTTGATATCAACAGATGAAGTAGTTGAAAGCCATCTGGTTGGTTCCCGCTCTATGATCTCGTGTTACACTCCCATGTCTAGACGGCGCTCCACGTCCGATTATATCAAAGAGACTATGTACTCAAAAGATTTGTGAGTCACGCGAGATGGATGTGTAGGATTAACAATATTAAACGTACGTCGTTTAGATCTAGACTTCTAACTTCTCGAGTTGCTCTTTCAGCTCGTCGATCTTACTGATCTTCTCCATCTGTTCCGGCAATAACTCGTGGCCTTCCGCCACACGAGCCTGTAGCTGCTCAGCCTGGAGGTAGTTTTGAGAATGATTCAACTTTTCTTAAAGGCAAACCGGCACCAATTCACAATCAAAGGGATTGATAATGCGTAAAAACAAACCTGTATCAATTTTTTTCGTAAGGCTCGAGACTTTTTCTCTGGACTATTCGCTTCTGGTGAAGGAGAGTCTTGATCGAGAGTTTGGAGTGCAGTATCGAACAGTTTTGCACCACCATCGACGGCACCTGTCTTGCGTGGCTTAGATGGTTCTGGTGATTGGGACAAAGGGGATGGTTTGGGTGGAACGAGTTGTTGGACGAGTGGGACTTGAGGGTTTGAATTCGAGGATTTGAGAGCACTCCTAAACAAGGCGGAGCCTGCCGAAGAGGAATCCGAATTTTTCGTCATTTGAGGCGATGGGGTTTGATCTTCAGCCGGCTTTTCATTTTCATTGTCTTCGGTAGAAACCCGATCCCAACTATCAGGCGTATCATCTTGCTCTGCTTGGTTGATCGGGGTGTGCCTTTTTTGTTTTCGTTTTGCATTTTTCTTTTGAGCCTCACTCATACCCTTGAGTTGTTGGTTCACCGGATTTGGCTTGGAAAGACCTATGACGCTACCCTTCGGACGGTCACTGGCGTGATACTCTTGTTGTCGAGCAGAACGAAACTTGGTAACATCTTCTTGCGGAGTGTAGCCAGGTCTGATCCGAATTTCTTTCCGCACACTTTACCACACATCAAAAGGCAAAAACCATCTACATCAACTTCAGCCCAGTGAAGATTTGGGTGGATCTTGGATTGAGGCGAGCTGTCGAGGTTTGTCGAGGAAAGAGACATACGTGCCATCGGGTCTCTTGGAGGCAGCAACCAAGCGTTTTCCAGTATTAGGATCTTGTATGATACCAGAGGTGGATGGAGTGAGTTCGGAATGAAGCGGTGGGCGAGCGCTTCAGGTGGTTGAGGTTGTTCGAGCGAAAAGGAAGGATGAGTGCCAGGATATAGAAACTTGAAAGGGTAGAAAATAAATACTTACTTTCTCGACATGACCACTTTACAGTGAGAATTGATATCGAAAGAAGCTTAATCGGCCACCTCAAAGTAAAACAGAACGCCGATGAGGAATGTCAGCGAGATGACTGGGTGAGTGATCAGTGAAGTGGTGGTAGTAGCAATAGCAATAAATGTTAATGAGTCTCTTGATGATCATAAGACACCGACCCAAAGATTATGTAATCTTCAGGTACACGTCTCGGTACTTTGATTCTCGGGTACTTGTCTCATCCACTCATCTCTTCTTCATGGATTGGTGATCAAGTAAAAAGAAATCCAGTTGACCAAACCACTTCACATCCTATTCATCTCAACAACCATCCTGTAGATTCGTTCTACATCATTCGATTTGATAAAAAAACTGCCACTAGCTCAATCAAGCGAACATCAGCTGTTTGCTTCCCACTGGGCATCGCGCTTGATTCACTTAGGCTTTGATATACAAAATGGACGATTCCTTAAAATGTAATATCATCTCGTGTCGAAAATCGGTCACTAGAGATGGAAAGGCTGTCATCACGAATTGCTCTCATGTTTTTTGCCGTTTGTCTCACCTTTACTTGAGTTGATTTGGTCTGGCAAAGAAGAACCCTGATAGAATTTCATTTGCCTACCTGTTTGCTTGAATATCAACTTGATGGACCGTGGATGGCGAAGTGAGCTGTGCGAACACCCATCAATCTTTGACTCATCCCGACCCTTACCCGGTATGTCCAGCATGCGGGACTTCACTCTCAGAGCCGTCAGTTTTTTCGCTTTGAGCAAATTACTGGCACAAGCTGTTGTTGTGATGCCGCTGACGCCAATGATTGAAGTGAGGACGTTGTTTGTACATCACTAAACCCATCTGGTAAGTTTGATTCATTTCCTTCAATGAGTGGAAGCGCAACTAATCCAGATACCTTTCACCCGCTTAGCTGATTACAAGGCTAGCGTTCTTGCGGGACTTGCTCCATCGATCATTTTGGAAATTGCTAGCAGAGCTTTGAATTTCTGGTCAGCTTACAGATGTGTCCACTAGAACGCTAAGTTAAATTTTGAACGGATCCATTGACCAGACTTCGGGTATCTATTAACTTTCAATGCATCCATTAACTGAAATCACATTGCCTGATTGATAAGGACTTACCAGCAGTCTATGGAAGCCGCATTTCAGCATATGGTTCTCAAGCAGGCGCATGAAGTGAGTCAATCATTAACATCACGTGAAAGTCTTGTACACTTGCATTAACATGATCAGGTTTTAGCGGGCCGCGATCGCTGAAAAAGATCAGGAAAACATGCGACATCAGGCTGAGAACGAAATCAAACGTACGAATGAGTTATCAAGCCTAACATCGAATCGAGTTTCCATTGCAGTCCTATTGACCCATTCCTAATACTTTTGACGAATTATTTGTAGTACTATCGGAACGCCTGACGAGTAAGTGTCCTCATATCACCCAACTTTAGCACATTTTCTGACGGCCTCTTTGTGACACATCTCATCTTGACGAATGCCCTTTTCAGTTTCGGAGAATGAATTGAATATCGAACGGAGAAAGGTCAACGAAGCTGCCGAGCGGCATCGAAGTGCACAAAATAATTACGAAAAACTTAAAGTGAAGCCCACTTCAATAGAATTTTTATTCGAATGATATACACGTAAAGAAGCTTGCCTTCACTCACTTTGCTTGCTCGAACACGTAGGCCAATTTCGAAAAAGTCAGGATCAACAGTTTAGTGAACAGTATATCTGATCCTAGGTCCGATACTCCTTTGGGTCAAGCTCCACAGCATACTCTTAGAACACCTCAGGTCAGTTTTTGGCTCTTTGGTTGAAAGAACTTTGTGTAACAAGATGTCCATCTTATGTCTGACAATCATACTTGTGATCACTTGACAAAATTTTAGATCACTCCGGTGCGCGGTGATCCAATAATTAGGTCAGATCTCGCTACCAGATCGTTTGGCACACCACGACATGCATACAGCGGTGCGCGGATACCCGACCAGCTCAGATCAATCAGCGAACGGCAGAATCTAAACAACGCTCGGAGTAACGTCCTTCAGGTATCCGAGGCTGGAGGACACGCCCTTCGCAGCGTGCGACACAGATTCCCCCCCGGTACAGGACTTGCGCCGACATTTCAAGCCAGGAGCAAGAAAAGAAGCAATGGTGATGTTGAGAACGATTATCAGACTGGTGGAATGGCTCAAAATATCGGACCCTCTGGTGGTCAAGCCAGATCAGTTTTAAGGCGGCCAAAGTTTCACTCTCGGCTTGATCACACTCTCTCAGGCCGCTCGCGTCCGCCAGGCGACATACTTCGTGAACAGGAAGGAAGGCCAGCTGTATCAGACTGGTAAATAATAGCAGGTGTGTATGTCTGAAATGTACTTTTGATTTTGTAATAAGGAAATCACGCTGAGTTGTGAAATACAAAGTGAAGTGGGATCACCGATCTGTCACGCTTTCATGAACTTCATAGTTGTATGGAAACAATATATTTCGCTTCTGATACCTGATTATATTTGATCTTGTTATGCAGAAGAAAAAGAGGGATAAAGTAAACGGTCGAAATATGTAGTGATTGTTTATGAAATAAGAATCCTTTATTCAAGCCTGATTGAAGAGAATATATAGAAAATGCGTCAATGGATCAAGTAAGTTGATTTACTATGGAACTTGAAGTCATCAGCTTATAGTCGTGATGAAGGAAGCTACGTAGAGAAAAGCTCTGCCTGACACAGAAATCATGAATTCTGACTTAACAAGTGATGATGGGAAGGTGAACAGTGAGCATGATTCTGAACCACCAAGGATGCATGAAGGTGATCAGTGTCAGAAACACTGCTGTGATTCTCATCCTGTCACTCTGTGAAGGAGAAGAGTTGTATGTCATGTAATTTACATATACACAGACAGAATAAAGTGTGATCGAGTGAAACATCACAAAGGATTGAGAAACGCGAAAAAGCAAAAGACCACCAAGACTTTTAACGAAAGAACCATCGTCAACTTCTCAGATTTCTCTGGAAAATGGCAGCTCAACAACAACAGCAGCAACACCAAGAACTCATTACTCAAGCACTAGCTCATACTCTCGATCCTAATCCAACTACTCGATCTCAAGCTGAATTGACTTTGAAACAAGCTAAAACTACTTCAGATCACTTTGGTTTGATTCTGATTGCTATCACTCAAAATCATACTATTCATACTTCAATCAGACAAGCTTCAGCTCTTGCATTCAAGAATTATGTTAAATCATCTTGGTCACAATCTGTAAGTAGTCTGCTTCTTTCTTCTTATTTTCAACACGATCATTTGTTTGCTTAAACTGATACTATTTCATTGCACAGGACGAAGATCAACAGGATGAAGTTGTGATTTCTGAATCTGATCGGAAAACTCTCAAAGAACAATTAGTGGCGACCCTTATCTCACTCTCGGATACGCCACAATTACAAATTCAGTATCAAGAATCAATCTCTATAGTAGCTGATGCTGACTTTCCAGATCAATGGCCCGATTTGATTGATCAAATCGTTCAACGATTTAGTCTTACAGATTGGAAACTTAATAATTCATTGCTTTCTACTGCTCATGCGATTTTCAAACGTTGGCGATCTCAATTCAGGACTGATTCACTTTTTCTTCAGATTAAGTTTGTCCTCGAAAGATTCGCTGAGCCATATCTGTCTCTCTTCAAGGTCATTATCTCACAACAACGCTTTTCTTACGGTTTCATTCTGCAATATCTGACCATATTTGATCTCTCATTAATAGCATCTCGATGGCGCGCTCAGCAATAATATCCAGACACTGCCGGCAGCTCAGCAACAAGACTTGATCAGATGTCTCCTCAGTATGATTCAGATTTATTACGATCTTAACTCACAAGACATTCCAGAATTCTTTGAAGACAATTTACCCGAATTCATGACCATTTTACACAAATACTTAACGTGGGATTATCCTGGCTCTTCCTCAAACGATGACGATGAAGAAGCTGAAGCAGGAGACCTAGAGAAAATTAAAGCTAGTATTTGTGAAGTCGTTGAACTCTATAGTCAACGATACCTGGATGTTTTCCCAATGATGGGTCAGTTTGCAGAGACATGTTGGGCTATGCTCACTCGTCTTGGCCAACAGCAGCGCTATGATATCGTCAGTATTTACTCTTTGCTATCTTTTACCTGATCTCTTTCAGCTTCCCACTGACAATTTGTCTATCTTTTCAACGCATCCTGTTCCAGCTTATCAGCAAGGCGACGCGGTTTCTTTCTGTTGTAGTCCGAATGCCGTCCCAAAAAGCTCTTTTCGAAAGTGACGCAACTCTTGAAGCTTTTTGTGAGAAGATTGTCTTGCCTAACATGATGCTACGAGGTGAGAGATGCTGCTCGCCTTTGAATTTTTCGTTAGACTCCATCTCATCTTTGCTGCTCACTTCCTGACGAATCCACAAAACAGAGTTTGAGGTAGAGATGTTCGAGGACGACCCGGCGGAATTTGTACGAAGGGATCTAGAAGGGTCCGATAATGACACTCGTCGCCAGGCTGCTACCAACTTCACACGAGCTTTGATGGAACAGTTTGAGGCAAAGGTCACTAAGATCATCACCACCTATGTTCAAGATAATCTCCAGGTATGTGAATCTTGTTCTTCATCTTTTTCTTGACCAGATCCTTATTATCTTTTCATTATGAATCAGAAATATGCATCGAATCCAACTGCGAACTGGAAATCAAAGGATGCTGCTGTCTCTCTTCTCGCATCGGTCGCGTCTCGCAGTTCCACCTCAACAGGAGGGGTCACTTCGACCAACTCGTTGGTGGATGTAGTGCGCTTCTTTTCCGAACACGTGGTTCAAGATCTTCAAGTCTCGACTGGAGCGCCTGCAACACATAGCGTGATCGTCGCCGATGCAATCAAGTTTCTCCACACATTTCGAAACCAGCTCACACGCGAGCAATTGATCTCAGTCATCCCGCTCCTCGTTCCACATTTAAGATCAGATGTAATGGTGATCTACACATATGCGGCACATACGATTGAACGTATACTTTTCATCAAGCGTGACAATCAGCTGTTGTCAGTCCCCCTTGTTTCTTCGTTTCTCGACAATTTGCTAGGATTGTTTTTTAATTATTTTCCTTGATAGAATTTCCTCGGGCGACATTCAAGCCTTAACACACGAATTGCTTCAGGCTCTCTTTGGACAGATTCGGAAAGGTTCGACCCCACAGCTCATTGCACAAAATGATGGTTTGATGAAGTGTGAGTTTTTCTCAAGCAGCATTCGAGCGTACGAGATGTTGATGTGTTGGAGTTTTCGCTAGGTGCGATGAGAGTGATTTTCACCGCGAGGCATTCATTGGTACCGCAATATCAGGATATATTGTCAAACCTAATTTTCATCGTTTCAGAGATCAGCAAGAATCCCAGTAACCCAAAGTTCAATCACTACACCTTTGAAAGCATCGCCGCGCTCATCAGGTCGGTCTTTGTTACTCATCACGAAACATCATCTGTTCACTATTGATTGACTCTGATCAAGGTATGAAAACTTCTTGCAGGTTCACAACTGTGGAAAATGCTGTACCACTTTCTACCTTTGAAACTGCACTTTTCCCTTCATTTTCAAACATTTTGAGTCAGGATATACAGGGTAAGGACTCTGGTTCAATTCGTCGAAACGCTAATCGTAGCAAGAGCTGAGCTCACTGATCTTGTTCTTCTCAGACTTCGCCCCATTTGTGTTCCAAATCCTGTCGCAGATGCTCGAGATGCACGTCAATGATCTACCTGAATATTACGTCAGTTTACTTCAACCTCTATTGACACCCAACTTGTGGGAAGTGCGTGGAAATATCCCGGCATTGGTAAGGCTCTTGAGGGCCTACCTTTCCGTTGGCGCAAAGTGGATTGTAGAAGGAAATTGGGTTTCAGGAATGCTCGGCGTGTTCCAAAAGTTGATCGGGTCGAAGGTCAATGATCAATACGGGTTCGAATTGCTTCAGGATTTGTTCAAATATATTCCAATGTAAGTTCAGCCACCAATCAACCCTATTATCGCTTTCTGTGGGCTTTTGATCACGATGAATATGAATAGGGAGCATCTGTCAAGTTATCTACGAAACGTGTTTGTTATCTTACTGACTCGGCTCCAAGCGAGTAAGACCGAAAAGTATACTCGAGGATTACTCTACTTTCTCATGTTTGCAATGACCTTGGAAAAACCCCACCTTTCCCCCGACGTGATAATCTCGACTCTGAACTCTATTCAACCTGGGTTCGTTGATAGTTCTGATATTCGCTGGCTTGAATGAGATCTGTTTCCAGTCCCAACTAATCGTTCTTCCTCAGATTGTTCTGCCAGGTGATGGAAGGTGTTTTGATTCCGGCGGTTCCTAGCACGCCACTCAAAGACCGTCGGGTGGTGGCACTTGGTCATGTCTCGCTCTTAACTCGGTCTCGAAGTCTGCAAAATGACAGTGAAGCACGATTGTATCTTCCGATCTTGAGTTCAGTACTCCGAATATTCACTTTACCACAATTGTCAAAAGGAACGGAAACGGCTGAGGAAGAGGTTGAAGAACATGAATATCAAGTGGGCTTTAGTATGCTAGGAGCTAGTAAACCACGTGGTAAAGAAGAAGTTCTGTTTGAAGCCATGGGGGATCCAAAGGATGCTCTTGCAAGAGGATTACAGCAGGCTGGCGAGGCTCAACCTGGGAAGGTACGTCTTCATAGTCACAAAGTCACTGTATTAACTGTGCTGACAATATCGGGTTGCAAATGTTAGGTACCTGCGTTGTTTTCTCAAATGGATTCCACGTTAAGTGCTCCTTACCTACAGTGGCTTGGGGCGACGGGCTACCAGTTTAAGTGATGATGTATCTATGCGAGTTTGAGCGTAATGCGATATAAAGAGTTGTTCTTGGTTTTTCGCCAATTGCAAATTGTGTTTGCAATTGGTCCACAATTAGATTATTGTACATCCTTGAGACTACACATGTTTGCAGACTACATACCCAAAAGCAAGCAGCTACATATATAGTCCTCAATAGCACTACATGTGAAGTTCTTTGATAGCACTTCTTGAGCCTTGTCCCCACTTGTCATGAACTGCTAGGAACTAGTAGATTACTAACATAGCAGTTAAGAAAATGTAAAGAGATCCATTTTTCATTTCATGAACACATTGAAGAGATAATCATTGGTACCTGATTTGCATCATTACTATATACTAGAGAATATGTGAGCATGCCCACAACAGGGAAAATCTCTTGCGACCTACCTACTTGAACCAATATTTTATACACTATCATTTAAGAAAAGCTTGCAACAAATTCCCCACCAATTTGCTTGAGTCCTGTGGGCAAAATTGAGCAAGCTTTTGTAAATTGACTGTATAAACAGTCCCAAAGTCAACACTGCCACAATTACGCTACGAGTATTGGTATTGAAGTGGTATTGTATCCTCAGTATCAGTACCTGAGGCGCAATACGCTACCGGCCAAGCCTCCGGTTAGTATCAGGTACGGCAATACTTGACTCGGTATTGTATTGGGTCCCCGGTATGGTACGGGCCTGGCACCTGGGGCGGTATTGGAGTATTGTACCAGTATTGCAGTATTGTTTGAACTAACTCCAACATCAGAGCTAAATGCCCTTTGTCTTGCACCGCGGAACCCTGTATTGCTCCACTAGTAGTCGAATTGAAGGGGACAAGGAGAACGACTACTAGTGGAGTTCCCCTGTTAACAGCCGCGCTCAGCGGTAGACTACAGGATCCGGGGGACGCCTGAGAATTCTCTGAGAATCCGAGAATTCCGAGAATTTGAGAATCCCCCCTCATAAGCCATGAGATTATGGGTTGATACAGTTCTCGTTCCCGAATACCTTATGCGTTTTGGACATACCAACTAGACGTGTGACTTCCTCCACATGACATGACACATGCCCTGACACATGCTTGCACACGCCGGTGACACACATCAACCCTCCTCTGTCGTGGTCACCTCAAGTTCACCGATCAAAGGCACTTCACACATCAACCCTCCCTCTGTCGTGGTCACCTCACTTCACACATCAACCCTCCCTCTGTCGTGGTCACCTCAAGTTCACCGATCAAAGGCACTTCACCGATCGATTGCTTACCTTACCATACCGAACACCATGTTGCTTGTCGACTTCGTAGCGCAGATGTTGACCACAAGTCCTCACCTCAGCTCCACCCTCACAGTCACCAATTTTGTAAAGTTCAACACGTTGGCGTCTGAGGTTCTTCATACTGCTGAAAATGCAATCCGTCTTACGCCCCACCAACCCACGATGCTACCGTTCCTCACGGCCGCTCTTTCGTCCCAGACTCCTGACCACCTTATGCAAGATCTATGGACATTGGTTTTTCCACTATTACCCTCAGCACAGTTTAACCCCAAAGCCGCCATTCGCAGGTTGGGCCTGCAATTTAAGCTCCCAGAACAATATTTACGCCCGCCGGTATCTCAATGTCTTGTTTGCCCAGCTGCTCGTAATCTGCACGTCCATACCCGCCTCAATGGGTACCTTTTCGACTATGATGGTGTGCACTCGGTTCAGACAATCATACTCGATTGCCCAGGTGAGTTTGGAAAGTCTTGATGACCAAACGGAAAGAAACACACTGACTCGATACTTCCTTCATAGGCTGTGGAGCATCTTATCGCCCTAGCTATTACACGACCACTAAAACCCAACACTATTACACTTTGGCCCAGGGACGCGACATTGAAATTCTACATGTCCATTGTCACTATTACATCACGAACCGTTTGGGACACCTTTTCCGGATGATACAAATGCTAGCTCAGTAAGTATGATCGTTTGAATATCTATCTTCTTCGCTTCCTGATGTTTGCTAATTGAAATCACCCTGATTCTAGTGTTTCCCACTTCAACCTGACTAACTGGTACAACAAGTTGTATGTTGAAGATTCCGACGTACCTCTGTTTGACTCAGCACAGGTGTATACACCTGCTATGTCAGAGGCTGTGTGTCTAGACGCACTCAAGCTGCGTGATCTTCTGGAGAACGAAGATCGGAGGGGGAACCAAGTACTCCTACCTGCCACTGGAACCGACGACCTTCGATTCGACGAGGCGATCGCCACCCATCTGGAGCGGCTTGAAGTGGAAGGTACCAGCTTCCGCGATCATTATTGCAGTAGCTGTTTGCGTTTCAAATCTGGTGGTGTGGATCCTCATACCCGCAAAGAACGATTTTATGGTAATCACCATTCATTTTTCATTTTAATGTTGAAGAGGTTTGCTCAAGAAAATTCCATGCTTACAGGCATTCGAGCAGTGGTCACCGATGGGCTGACCATCGGGCACTGGCGTTGCAGTGCATCGACAGACCAACTCGAGGAAATTGCTAGAGAGTTTGGACAACCGCGGCCAGAAGGTCCTTGCACCAATCGCCTTGACAAAATCAATGATCGATTTTGTCCATTGCACCAATCACTGCTGGGGACTCGATGCCAAGTCCAACCTTGTCGAAGGAATGCTCTCCCGGCTTCGAAAACGTGTGACCAGACTGCCCACATAGAAGCGTGGGCAAATTTCACCGAACGTGTGAAATCAAATTTCTCCCTCACTGCAATCCTAAATCGACCAGGTTCCAATCTGCCATCCAATCCGACAGTCCACCTCGACGCTGAAACAGGAGAATTTAATGATCTTGACGGGTTACGGGAAGCTGACGAGTCCAACCGCGCCCACGAGGGCGCTCGTGATGGTGGCAATTCGCAACCTCAGCCCAAACTGGTAGTATCACGGTGTCGTACACACAACGATCAACTCGTAGTTGGGTGTTGTGGAATCATTTTGGCTAGAAAAACTTTCTATCACGTGGAATCAGTGAGTGCGGTTAAGGTGAGTTTTAAGCATACTTGTTAAGTTTGGTGCACATTGTTAATAATAACGTGATAAACAATCAAGTGTTTCTTGGAAGATAGTTTTCCTCAAGGGATGCCGGAGGTGGTTTTTTACGACAATGCATGTCGTCTGACGGAACATATATACCACGGAAGCGGCGACACAACTCAATTCCAAGGAACAGTAATACCGGTCGACCCATTTCACCACCGATCCCACGCAGAAAGCGACGAGTTTTGCAAACTTTTCACTGATCCAAAGCTATTCCCTGATATACAAGAAGATGGTAAATGGGTTTTCAATGCGTCTGCTGCAGAACTGAGCAATATATGGTACGGTGGTTTTGCGTCCATGTGTCGTAGCATGCACGCTCTTAGGTATAATTTTTTCTTGGAACAGATGGTTTATTTGCGAAATAAATGGCTCGCAAAGAAATTGAACAAGTGCAAGGGCATGCAATTCATGGGGAGCTGGGTTTTTAAGTGACTGACTGGGATTTTGTAATACACTGGATATGCTTTTGTTTTCTGTTTTTATTTTCCAAATGAAAATAAATTGAATGTTATGATGAACATGTCTGGCTTTACCCCTTCAATCCTCAATCTGACCACTGACCCTCTCGAACTTATGAAACAACGTATAACATAACCACCGGTAGTGAGCCTCATTGGTTTATGTTGGGCAAAATCGCATATGTGGGTCAAGACCGTGAAGGTTGATATACAATTGCAACCCTTTAAATGGATGTAATGTGAAATGTATTCACGGGGAAGTATATACAATTGATCTGATAACATTTGACAAATGTTATTTACAACGTTCTTGCAGCTTTGGATTCCTGGCATCTAGGGAACCACGACGAAACCATGGCTAAGAACCTGAGAATGTTCGGAAAGAAACATTGTGAGAAAAATTAAATCGAATTAGCAGAGCAAAGGGGAAGTCGAAACGCACTTGAACAACGAGTTCATCAGTCTGCTGGTCTTGAGAAGTCACCAGCCCTTCAAAAGTCATCAACGTGTTGACTTCAATGTCCTCCATCTCAGAAAGCTCAGGAGAAAAATGACCAAAGCGATATGTGATCGCAAAATGTAATTCTCGTCTCTCCTAAGTAACAGCAGAGTTATTAAGCAGGCGGCTAATGAAAGACAAAAAAAAAGAGTTTATATAACTTACATCCGGTTCAAAGGTATGATGTTCCGCTTTAACAGTCAGGTGCCATTCACCATCTTCATTAACATTGTCCCAAGCGACTCTGATAACCTTGCCGGTTGAACAGATCCAGGCTTTCGCAGCTAGGTCGGCATGTTGAGGTGGCACGGTTGCCACCAAACTTTGGGTGATGTAACTGTGCTTGATGAAAGCGCCGCCTTCAGGGTCTACCCCCACCGGGCCATGTATGTGATACGTATGACCACGTATGAGCACGTCGTCGGCCATAAGCAATCCGTAGGCTTTGAGGGGGCAGACCAAGGGCTCGCCTCAATCATCTTTCAATATTAACTCGGTTTCGGTTTTGTGCCAAGCAGAACCGCCGTCAGGCAAGCGCAGACGCAATAGCGTGGCCTAGTAAAAGAATGGTGGGAAAAAAAAAGTCAGATCAAAGGTAAACCGTTCTGAACATTGGAGTATTATAATGAGATTCGCATACATCGCTCGTCGCAGTAAGAATGGCAGATATCTTGGCAGTCAGTGGAGGCATGGCTATCAATTGAAATGTATCGAGGTATGCTGGGATGCTGCTGGTTGCTGTTAGTCGAGAGGGTATAGATATAGATCTTCATATCATACTTTCATGAGACCAGGTTGCCTGCACGGATTCAGGCTCATGCGAAGTTAGGCAGGAAAGTGTGTATTCAGGGTCCTGGCCACGGAAGGGTCCCATTCCTTCCACTTTTGTATCTGTGGCAATTGTTTCAAAATGTAGATTCAAGTCTGGACGTCGCAAACTGGAAAAGTGGTTCAATTTTTTCCAGTCAACTGTGGTTGCTTGCAATTTCAACCGACCATGCACCGTTTAGACTACTAATGACAAGGTTTTACTTCAACATAATAATTCGAGTAACTAATCCAAAAATTAAAAATTACTCGATTAAGACCCTTTGTCTTTTGTTTTATTCTTCTGGCCCGCTTCTCCCGTTTCTTCTGGGCTGCTTCCGTTGGAAAGTGATGCAAACTCAACCTTGTACTGAATTTGGGCTTCACCTACAGTTGCACGGGGACACTTGCTGTCACTACGCCAAATTGAAAATTTACCGCTGAGTTTAGAAAATTGAGCAGACATAGACAATTGTGGAAAAGCTGGGAGGGGTCAGAAAAATATGAACAAATATTGGTTGGGCCCTTTGGTGCATTCCAATCATCTGGCATATTTTTTCATATTTTTACAACCACAATGCAAATAATGTCAGAAACCCAGATTTGGTCCAAAACTGGCAGGTAGAGAGACAGTGACCTTGCAACACCAACAAAATCATCAATTTTGCTCCAACACTTGTAGTGTCTTGACATTCTGAATGCCACATTCTGGCTCTACAGTTTTTGTGCACAAAAAAGCTGTGTGTCTCCAAGAATGGGTGAGATATATCAAGAGACGTACACAGCAGGAACCATATATAAGCATAGAAGTCATTACCACAATGGCTTCAGCACGTTAATAAACCTTGTAGAGCCATCATGCGACTTCCATAAATTGCAAGTGTTCAGATGATTGAACAAAAATACTCATATTTTTGTGCTTGAAGGTTTTTGCCCAAATATTGCTAGTTTTGGACCAAATTTGAGTTTCTGACATAATATCCCCTGTGAGCATTTTGGTTTGGGGAGACTTCAAACATCATGGCAAAAATATGCAAATATATGCAAAATGAGGGGACAGCACCGTTTTATTCTTCTGGCCCGCTTCTCCCGTTTCTTCTGGGCTGCTTCCGTTGGAATTTTCTACAGTTTCAATTTTATAAACTCAGCGGTAAATTAGTGATCTGGCGTAGTGTGTACTGCCGTCGAAAACGGTCGTAACCGACTTTTTCAATCCACGCCCTGTGCCTATACACAGTGGACTGCACGAATACCCACTCGTTGCCCCAAACCTCCTTCCATGCCTGTACAGGAGGGTGAGTCTCACATTCCTTGTACCACGCAAGGAGCGTGGAAACAAGCACCTTCGAAGGCCTCCCGGGCCACTTTCTCTTCAATACTTGCCCAGGGTTTGTCAAAACTGGAGAAGCGGTAGAAGTAGAAGCCGGAGTTGTTCCAGTGACGTCACCCGATATCTAAGATGTTACGTTCAGGCATGATCAGTGGTTATCTTGCATGAACGTGCATGTCATGTCAGTAGTGTGTGTGTGTGTACTCACGTGATCTTCCCGGGGTGTCTCGTTGAATGGGTCAAAATCTGGGAGCTCCTCTGACGGTTCACTTTTGACTTTCACTGAACTGGTGACAATCGTATTCTTGACTACCTCAATCTCGTCAGGTGAGCTGGACCGTTTGGCATCTGCGCTGTGAGTCAGATACAATTTAACCACAACCACTTCATCATCATCCGATGATGGGGGAGAGCTGGCTCGTGGAGGTTGAGAAGTCGCTCGCAAAAAAGGCGGAGAACTGGCTCGCAGTGAGGAATTCGAGGTGGAGGGCGCTTTTGAGGTCGAGGTGGAGGGCGCTTTCGAGGTGGAGGTCTCTTCAAGTGGATTCTTGACCACGGCGGTAGATCTTGGCCTGCCCTTGGATTGTGGCAAGCCTGGAGTGCGAGGATCCACAAGTGCCGACCTTACAACGACGACTTTGACGTATTTGGGGTACCTGTGAGGGAAAGAGACGATGGTTTCATGCTGATACCATGACCGCAATATCAGCCATTAAGATCAAATTGAATAGATAACAATGAATAAAGCTGATCTACTTACCCATGAGTTGATCTGGTCATCCCAGAACAAAAGGGCTCAATTCCACGTAGGTCCTATTGTCTGCGTGCAAGCGTCCATAAGCAGGCTGGATTCGTCAAGCCTGGCCTTGGGCCATTGGTCGAAGTGCGCCGAAATAACCTTGGGTTGGTCTGCCTGCTCGTATGGTGGTGGTCAGTATTGAAACCAATTGCTGAGACTTTGAAACCTGGTTACCCACATCGAGCCATAGGAGGATCGTTACCACTTTTGCCTCATCGTATTTGTTGGCTATCTGACGTTCAACTGCCTCATATCGCTCGCGGCGGTCGTTCTGCATGTTTGCAACCATTGTCGTGCTCAGCTCGCGTCCCATGGTGTTAGGTGATTGGGCCCATTGGTGAATGCGACCACCAGACCGTGCTCGTCCTATTGCAGGGGTTGGTTGAGCCGATGTGCTAGCAGCGGATGACGTGCTACCCGCGGGGAACGATGGTGGATGACGAGTAGGGAGCGTTTCTTTAGGCGCCGTGGCGGAGTGGGAACCAGAGGCACGAGTATGCTTCGAACATGCCCCTAAACCGTATTCAAGGCAACACTGAAAAAAGGGTATAAAACTTGTCAGCTTCGAAAATATATAATTGTAAATCAGAGGAAACTTACCGATTGGCAGTACTGGTAAGGGCAACCTTTGTTGCCGGTCGTGCGGTGGTTACGGGCCACAGGCCCGCGTGATGGTCGCTGGCAAGGGTACTGGACTTTGGCTCGTACTGGGCCTGCTTGGGATTCAACCTGAGGATGTTCGATAGGAGGAATGGGTGGGTTTTGACCTAAAAACGGGTGACCCTTGCTGCCAATAGGGTTGAGGAGTGCAGCTAGGCAATTGGTAGAGCCGTTTCTCTTTCCTCGAGAAACAGAGCCGTTGCTCTTTGAAGTGGTGGGTGCCGGTTTGGGGCCTAGATGGACCCCGGATGGTGATATTCGTGGGCCCCAGTCAGACTCAGAAGATACAATTGGACGGGGAGCTCCCGCGTTGATCAATGCCCGTTTGTGATTGAATTGGTCGCATCGAAAAGTGCGCCAGTTGTGCTCATTTCTGGGACGTTGTGGGCACTAGATGAAGTGTGAAAGAGATAGAAGTGAGTGAAAGATCATTCAAAACATATAAATCAATTCAATCAATCGGTTGAAGGGTGGGTCACTGGGTCAAAGGGACTTACATAGATCGTCCACGCATCCTCTCTTGCCGCAAAGTAACGTAGAGGGGTCGAGCATTCGGGACAAAGGATGCCAACTGGGTGTCCAACCTTTGGCTCTGGCAAGAATCCTTCCTTAATGAATTGGTAATGCTCGTGGACGAGAGTCAGAACCATGATTGAGGATGTGGTGGTTGGTGGAAAGCGCGGAATGTCGGCTAGATTGGGTGATCATTGTATTGATGGATGTCGTTCGGTGAAAAAATTCGTGATGTCCCTTTTGGGCGTGTTGAAACGGTATGGGATGGCAATGTCGATTGAGGTGATGTCAAGTCTATTGAGGTGGTGGTTTTCGTGTGCTATATGACACACAGAGGTACGAGGTAATGGTGACGGTAAAGTGTAGTTGTGACAGGCTTGCGATAGTGCAGGTCTAACTTAACGTAGGGTTTTGGACGGTTAACAATATGCTTATGAGTATGCTAGTACAGGGAGCGCCTGGTGGCGCTGTATTTTCTCAATTTCTCACAATTCTCTAATTCTCTAATTCTCAAATTCTCAGGAGCAAAACCCGGATCCTCTGGTGCTCCCGCGCTCAGAGACGACTTGTTAAACCCGACCTCAAACAAGTCCTCCGGAGAAATTTTTTTGAAATTCACCACCGCAACTTAGCCAAATCCTGCTTAAGACCCCCTACAGGTCAGCGCCGCATGTAACATCGGGTTTGTACCCGATAACTGCTCATACGGGCCTGTCACCAATCGGCCTAGCTGAGTTGCGAAGCCCTTTATCCTTCTCGATTGCCATCCATCTCACCACACATCCCTTCATCGCATTAACCACACTACAACCAACCATCCATGGTACGATCACGCAAGGCGAAGCGTGACTCTAATGTTCTCGCCGGAATTGGGACAAGACCCTCACGCAAAAGACAAGGAGATACCCCACCCCGAAAACCTCCTGTAATTCCTAAATCAATTTCCGACGCACTTGGCATTGGCCAAAGTGGTACGAATGACCAGCCAATTCCACAGCACAATTACGATGATTTCAATTTGTTCAATGATCCAGCAGCAGCCGAATTTATACCTCATCGTGACGAACCTGAAGCCAATCCTCCTTCGATTCCTATTCTTGGTACAAAATTCGCTCAAGAAAGCCTTGAGTACTGGAATGCGGAGGAACGGCGACTTGAAAAACTCAAATGGGCCGCCATAGAATCAGATATGACCGCAACCTACCTTGAATGTCAGCATTGTACAAAGAACTGGACTTCTCAAGCCTCTTACCTCGATATCAATATCATTTGTCAATGTACCAATACCAAACTTGTCAAACAAACGGTCGACCTCTATGCTCAATCAAAAGTTCATTTTCAAGCCGAAATCATATTCTGTTCATGTATGCCTAGACCAGTACGGCTCCTACACTACGGGTATATCGCGAGCTCACCTCAATTTCCAAAGACAGCATTCTCAATCCCACTCTTACAATTTCATCATCACCTGCGGAACGAGACTGTTGTAGCCAGCACAGGATTTGTCAATGCATTATTTAGATTTCTCAAATCACGAAGCGATAGAAGCAATACCAATATGAAACCCAAAAACACCAAATACGAGTCTCTTATTCACGATCGAGATCTGAGAAAGCAATTTACACAATCAGTTGATATGTATCAAGCTATAATTCTCTGCACTAAACGGATTTATAAGGAAGGCCTGAAGCTTTCCAACGCTCAGCTTTTGGCGGACCAATGTGCACGTTGTTTTGGTCCAGCCATCAATGAAACAAAGATCTCACCTCAAGAGCCAGATGTTATAATTGCCTTAGACGGTAATTTTCAACATCGTCACTATACCCGATCTAGCAAGGATAATCCAACAGAAGAAGAGTATCCTGATATTTTTATTAAGCCCTTGTGTATGAAGAAGAATGAAATTATACAGAATTCGACTGAAACTCAAGTCAAGGATATAAAGGTGAGTCTTCAATCAATTTCATCAAATTATACCAATTTATTAATTACTAATTTGACGCACATTCAGAGTGCGTGTGCTGACTCGCAAACTGCAGCAAACAATGTTCGAAACTCTACCTTGTGGAAGAGAAGCGATGATACGGGCCTCTTTGGATGTACATGTCGACATGATGTACCCCTCAAATTAGCCAACATCTACCGAACTGGCGAAAAGTGAGTTACTTCGCTCAATTGTTTGTCAGTTGGGTTGATATTCATCTAATCTTTTGCTTCAAATAGGCTGTACTACCCGTTAAGCATCCTGGAGAATTTATTGACGGATTTGCCCGAAATCCAGGTTGGAGTTTTGTATGATATTGGGTGTCAATTGAAAGCACACATCAAAAAGGTAAGTTTGGCTATTCTATCGATTTTTACATAGATCGCTGATAGGTTTGTACATTCAGAGAGGTTTTCTTGAGAATCTCTGCCAAAGACTTAGTTTCGGCACATCTGTATTTCATGCCTATGTGCACAACTGGGCCTGTCAAGTGATGTACAATCCCCGATTCAACAACTTTTGGGGATTATCTGATGGTGAAGGACTTGAAAGGTTCTGGTCTTTCTTGTCCGCACTCGTGGCTATCAACCGTATCTCAACCTGTCTTCATCGACTACTCAACATCAACTGGAGGACCTGTTTTTATGTGGAGATCACATGTATGTCAACAGGTATGTAAGAATATATTAAAACCCAAATGCTGATCAATAACTTACTTTCAATTTGATCCACCATAGCCAAATGGCTCTTACGCAGGCTACGGAATGCTCAAACAGTATCTTGTCAAGCTAGAACAGCTCTTACCAACTTATTGAGCAGACGAAGTTCCCTTTTTCCTACAATCCGATACACCCACGATTTTCTGCGTCAACAGTGGCTTGTTGAGCGCAATTCTCAACAGAAGAGGTGCCATATAAAAGAAGAACAAAAATTGGAACTAGGCCGATTATTATATTACGAGGAGATGGCTCAGAATGTGTGGTAAGTTCAATTAAAGCTCATCTGGTACTATAAACAACATAAAACTAATGAGAACAATTTCTCAAGGGATCAAGATGCGGAAGATGCTGAAGAAGCGATTCTTAGGTTACGAGAACATAATACTTACAAAAAGAAAATTGAAAAACAGCGTGCAAAGATTGGTTCCGAAGTGATTCTCAACAATCTGGAAGGTATGTTTTTTTGAATCTCACTCACTCGACCAAATTATCATTGACCTTGGATAGTATATCTTTAGCTCACAAACAAGACCAGATCTTGAAGATCTGGTTCACTAAACAAGAGGTCCGTGATCAGTTTCTGGCAATTTGCGAACAGAAACGTCCATTGGATATAAGCCGACGCGATGGGAGAAATTCAAGTATCAGTGAGTGATTTCTTGGCCTCAAATACCTCGGAAATCTCTTTTTAAAGATCAATATGCCTTCATCTATCTACAGGCTACAACAACAAGACACCTCTACTCAAGACACTTCGCAATCAGGCAGCTAAATTGAAAACAAAACTAGAAAATTATCAGAAGATGTTAAGTACATATTCAATCACATCTCCACATCGATCTCAACCAGAAAACATCACCTACCCTGAATTGTTAAAAATCTACTTTGATCACACATTCTGGAACGATGGCTTGTTCACCAACGGACGGGAAACTTGGGCAATCGATGGTGACACACAGTATGGGATGCGACAAATTGCCTACTTTGATCGGGCTAGTGAAGAAATTCGCCGAATCGGATGGGAAGTCAGAAGAGTAATGAGGTGGGCAATAGACTTGCACAACTCTCTCTATAGTTATTTGTTTCAACTTCAATCACAGAATAATGAGGTGGAACTTCAAATGGACCTTTGCTTGGTCCAACATCCAGCTCTAAGTTCACTCAGTGGACCAGGTAAGATTTCAGCGGCACAAGTGATCATCTATGAGAAGCTTGTACACGTTTTAAATTTGCAAGTGCTGTGGAATTCAAATCTGCTCGAGGTGTTTCAAAGCACACCACCTCAAGATGGCGATGGTGATCTTAAAATCATTTGGTGTGATCAGGTTCGGAAAATAAAACATATGTATTCAAATCGTGCAATCGAATTGAACCCAGGTATTATCAGTAATTTGAACAATGATGCTAATCAGATGGAGATTCAAGATGCTGATGATGTACTACCGGATGAGCTAGGACCAGAGGTAGTTATAAATATTCATGATGACTTAGATGAAAGCAATGGAGAAATTCATTTGGAAGAGGAGGATGTTTGTAGGGTGGTGACGATGGCACAAGGAATCACCCATGTCCATGTCACGCCTGAGAAAGCCTAGTCCCCGAAGCAGTCGAGACTCTGTGAGAGTCCGGCCTTGGTGGTAAGATGGATAGTTGGGTGGTTCAGGTTTCGCCCTGATTGGATCATCAACCAGGCACAGTTCTTGGTTGACCTGTGAGACGAGTCCTTTCCCCCTTTGAGAGCTTCGTAGATTCACTTCCTCCGCTCTCTCCCTCTCCATCTTCCTCTCACAGCCGTTCTCCTTGCTTCTGAAGGCTTTCTCTTGTCACGGTCAGAGACCTCTCTTTTTCGAACAGTGTTACATCGTTACATCAAAATGGTCCGTACAAGTAGAAGAAACAGAGATCTCAGTCCAGAATTCACTCCAGTGCCTACGTCACCGTTAGAAGAAGAACAAACAACTTTCGAGATAGAAACAGAAGAAGAAGAACGATTGAGAATTGAAAGAGAAGATGCGCTAGAAGAGATAAGAAATAAGAAAGAATCAAGGAAGAAGAATAAATCATTACGAGTTCAAAATGAAAACGAAGATAATGATATGCTATTTGAAGATGATATAGTGTTTGAAGAAGAAAAACTAAGTAATTCTGAAGACTCGTCTTCCTCAATAGAGTTTGGGGAAAATGATAAGAGTTAGTTTTTCAACTTCAACCTTTAATCATTGATCATTATCACTCTGCTTTGTGAATTCTATCCTTTCGTGAATTCAACCTTTTGTGATTTATTCCGAAACGTTTGTATTGGTATGATATTATTGTTCAACCTTTCGTGATTTATTCCGAAACGTTTTATTCGTGATTTATTCCGATCATGCCTTTTGTGATTTATTCCGAAACGTTTTATTTGTGATCTATTCCGATCATGCTCAAGCCGATT